CAAAGTCAACGTCTTAAAGTGCTTCTATCAGGATTCACTTGCGCACGACAACTATGAAGGAAACCATGACATAAATTAGAGAACTAAAAATTCTGACAGCATATTAAAAATTTATCAAAAATTGCATGCGTGGTGCCTTTCAATAGAATGTCATATTACCATCAACAAAGTCATCACAGCGCTCAATCACAGAAAGAAGAAACCCCAAAGACCCGACAAAAGTTAAAAATAAAAGACAAAAGTTAATTTAAGAAATTGTCTGTGGCGCGGGAAAACATAGTTATGAGCAAGTCGTGGATAGGTTTGGAGTTACACCTTATTGACTGTGGAGGTGGTGTAAGTATTCAAGATCATTCGATCAAAAGTGCATCATTCATGCAATTTTGTGCTGCAGGAAGTCGTCCATGGCTAAATCCAGTCGATATTTTCATGTCAACATGGTTGATGAAATCGATAAATAAATGAAATGTGAGCAGGGTAAACATGTCATGTAAGGTTTACTTGCACGGTACACGAATGTGGTGATTGCACTTTTACAACGTACACGTCTAGTCAAACTCTCTTTTTCGTTCAATGTGACTTGAAATGATTCGGTCAGTAGGAAGCAAAACATAATCAGTAATCATTTATTTACTACCGTAAACAGTGCACACCTTAAAGCAGCAACTGTCACTTACCTTTTTTTGCACTGCGACCTAGTAACATACAACACACATACAAATGAACGAACAATAAAAAAGGAAGAAAGCTTACATTACATCGAAGTCGTAGCAGCAGTCACCAAAGCTGTCACAAGACTTGTCACAGTAGCATAGGGGTATAAACCTACTCAATACGGGTATAGAAACATTTTCAAATCTCTTGTCGATGCCACAGCGATTTTTGCAGGTAAATCTCTTATATATGTGTTTAAGCAAATGCATAAGGGACTGTAGTCTCAGTTTCCTGAGTGAGACTAGAATTTTTGCCTTACCAATGGTTGGCATTTCATCTGGACTGCAAATGAGGCGTAAAGAATTAGGGACGAAGTACTCAGGGGCAGGTTCAGTGGGAGAAAGATCTAAAGTGGGTAAGGTACCATCGGTCACTTTCCCGCTCGATCAGGTAGGTGATTCAGAAGATAGTGAAGTCGTCGGTACGGACGTTGATAGTAATTGCTGTAGTGGTGATTGTGGCTCTGATGTTGGCAGTTGTGGTGGCGTCCGTGGAAGTGGTGGTTGGGGAAGTAGTGGTCAGGGACGTGGTAGTAGGGTAGGTGCACGCGGTGTTTGGGTGGGATTCCCACCTGGTGGCCAAGGTGGACGACCAATTGAGCAAGAAGATGGTGGAGACGGAGGATTCTCGCAAAGCCGCAATGAAGGAGGTGAAGGTAGGTGGTCATCAGCTGAGGGACCTGGAGATGGAGGCACACCGCCAGCCAGTGGCTCCCCATCTGGAGGTGGTAATGGTAGTAAAGGCGGATTCCCATCAGATGAAGGTGGGGGAGGTAAAGTTGTTACAGGTGGATCCCCATCATCTGAAAGAGATGATGGAGATGGAGGTCCACGGTCAGCCAACGACTGCCCATCCGGAGAAGGTAATGGTGGTAGCGGAGTATTCGCACCAGGTGACGGAGAAGGAATTGAAGGTAGGTGGCCATCGGGTGGAAGAGATGGTGGGGAAGGAGGATCCCCAACAGACGACAGTGTTTGAGATGAAGGCAGACGAGATGGAGACCCTCCGTCAACTAAAGATACTGGAGGAGAAGGTGACGGACCCTCTGGAGAAGATGATAGGGACGGAGGATTCCTGCCAGTCGAAGGTGAAGGAAGTAGAGGTGGATGGGCTTAAACAAATGGGGATAAAG